GTTGATAGAATGAATAAAAGCACATTGTCTGCCGGGGCAATTGGCAAATTCATGCGTAAATCCGCAATAGGCGAATTTTAGCTGACGCAGAAAATGCTTATTGAGTTAATTAATTTTTTGCAAAAATGCAATTTTCTTTTTATGAATTTTTGTTTCCGAAATTTGTCTGTTTTCGTAAAACGACGTCAGATTTTCCACTTGATGTACATACAAATTACCTAGCTCAGTGATGCTCGCCTACCGGAATGCATGTTCCGCGATGAATATCGACACATTCAGCATACTACTGTTATTAATATAAGGGCCTGGCTGCGTATCACGTTAAGTCCTTTTAAATGTGAAACCACCGTGTTCCTTTAAATCAGATCGGCCTGCAACGTGTTACTTGCAAGTAGTTTTCATTTGCACGCACAACGTGTGCACACCGTCCCATATATTCTCAACCGATTTAGAATGCGCCCGCAATTTTCGTCGCTTGCATATGTGCAGTTCGTGAACAAACAAATGAAGAGCCATGACCTTCGTACAAAGCACCCTGTAACACATACACCCGCATTCACGAGATTCATTGTAATAAAGAAACAGCCATTCTTCTAAAAAAGACATAGTTTGGCTTGCCAGCTATTATTTATTATCTAAGAACTTATTTATTTTATGGAATACCACCAGATCCGACTTTATGACGCTAATTATTTAATGAAAAGTATAATACTACGAGAAAATAATAAAATTCATTAAAAAATACCGCATACCAGCACTTTGCTGATTGCCGTTTTGCCTGTAAAACTGCTGTAATTCAGGCTGACATAGAAACTAAGTTGTCTTTGGTGGGCTCGTGTATGGAGTAATTAAGCTCCAAATCCAATTTTACCTCCTTTGAACAGTACTTTTTGGGCGTGTCTCAATTCCTTTTGATTAATACGAAGAGGTTATCTTTAGAATTGAGGTCCAGCCCGTAAGCAGAATTAAAAGCGCTGTGCAGAGTGCAGGTAGAGAGGCTAGTTGTGGTCTGAAAAAATTATTTTATAGTCTCAGGCTAAATAAGACTCTTACATTTATTTGAGTAGTAAACAGGAGCATTATGCTGCGCCAGTACAGTGTTCATTTGACGTCGTCAAATGCTATTATAACAGAAGGCATCGCTTATGTGGCTGAACAGATCGCTATTAATGCTCTCCATTTTTGACCACCACATCGGTAAGTCTCTCCGAATTTAATAGCTATCCAAAGCACCAGGCGTCGATAGTTCTTGAAAGTTGCTGTGGACACATACTGTGTTCCCACACATGACTACATAGGCCGACTTCAGAAGCTTAGCTAAAAATAGGACCTCAGCAACAAAGTAAATGCTTTTCCAGCCTGAAAGTCTGTGATCAATATACTGAGCACATAAAAAGTTCTGTGATCAGTTTTCTGCCTCAAAAATGGCATTTTAATAATTGCGGCCGGATTCCTTTATCGTCTTTTTTTCTAATTATGCGCATAGAAATCATTGGCAAATGTTCCCTGCAAAGAATCTTAGGAGGTATACGTTGGTACTTTGTTATTGTACGAGGATAAAATTGTCGCCCTGCTTGCTTGTGGGTTGTTTTGGTCCACCTTGCTTAATTCTAGACACTGTTCTGTTATAAATAATTGTCCGGTGTGGTTTGGCTTACACTTCAAAAATATAAGCTAACGACTCAGGTGGTCACCCTTCGGCTGCTTTTATTCGTATCGGCTCAAAATCCACATCTGACGGGAAGGGTTTTGGCACAGAAAAATGACTGCTTGCCGTGGATTCTCAGGCTTCATCGGAAGCAGGAGTGGTGCCGCGTCTCGAGTAATCATATGTGGTGACATTCATGGTTAATATAGGACGGTCCTAATTCTCGGTTTGAGAAGACAAAATGCTGTCAGACAATTCTATTAATGTATTTTGTAGCTCAGATACTTGATCCTTCCTGAAATTAAGCTTTTCGGACACTAGGCCTTAATCACCCTGTATTTTTTCGTCGTGTCTTCCCTCTAGGAACGAAGCCTGCCCTTCCTCACTGCCTGTTTGCCGCCCTTGGTTGGTGTCACCCTGACTGCCCTGTCGGAG